ATAGTGAAATGTCAGACAATGGATTGATGTTTTGCAACAGGAACAGTCCAGTTCGACATGATGGACTGATATTTTGCAAATTAACGATTTACGATGTGGTTTTCTTATTTTACTAATTAACTCTGTAATTTGCGATAAATACAATTCGATTGCCCTCACCTGTTTTCTCCTTCACTTCAGCGTGACCTTAACGTTAGGCATAAATGAATATGAGAAATCAGTGAATAGCATTCACAGCTAGATGTCAGACGTAGGAATCAAAATAGGAAGAGGTGCTCTCTCACCCCACCAAATGACATCAACGGTTAAGCTCTAAAATGTTATCACATCATAAGAATGAATACATTTTTGTGCCAAACTCCAACTAGTAAATTGCAGTCTCGTCCTCATCATCAAAAAACGGGTTACCGACTCACCTTTGACGTAGTAGAACATTTCTAAGTGAATTAATTTTATCTTCTTTATTTCTTGGTAGAATAATATTATCCTCATAATTTTCAACATCACTGTTTATGCCAACTTCTTTACGTGTAAACCATTTAGGTGTGGTAGTAGTAGTAGCAGTAGTGAAATATTCATCTGGTGTAGTTAATTCTTGATTAGTGAACTAAAATTCAAATATATTAATCAAAAAATGAGAATTTTTAGTGATTTGTTTTTGAATAACTAATAAAAATTTCTGTAAATAGTTGTTTACAATGTTTGAAATAATTCTGGTTGATGATAGAATAGTTTTGCATTTTTACACTGTAACAGGATGTCGTCATTTAAGGGGGAAGAGAGAACGGAAGATTTGATGTCAATCTATGTCACGCGATTTTTTTTCGAATCTACTTAGCGGAATTTAACGAGGAAGAAAAAAATATTATTATAATTCATAATATTTTGAATAATTAAAAAAATGAACTAACTATCATATCGCCGCAAGTAGATCATCATTCTTAAATCGTAATTTCTAAGCGGACAAAAATCAAGATATTTATATACACTGATTAGCTCGGATACAGAAGGCTCGATTGGCTTTTGCCAACTTGCGTCACTTATGGCGCAGGCGTGAAGAAATCCAAAATAAGGCATTTTTATCAAGCGAGTTCTAGGGATCTAACATCCCCAACATTTAAAATTAAGCACTAAATGATTCAAATCGGACCTTCTTAAATTCATGAATAAATGAAATGGTCAAATTTCAAACAATCATATTAAATAATGAAATGTTTATATTGTTCAGTGATTAATTCGTTCAAAAAGTCAAAAGTGACTTTATCTTTTTAGATTATTTCTAAGACTAAATACTTAAGTGAGAGAGGAATATTGGCCAACAGTAAAATTTGTAATGTACATTGAGATCTTAACTCAGCGTTTGTAGGGGATGTTAGTTTCCCAGAACTCGCTTGATAAATGCCTTAAATTTGGATTTCATGTTTGCCAGCATGGGCTGATCAGTTGACCTTGAGATTTCATTTCCCACCAGGAAAATCCATGGCTATGATTGGCTGCTATGTATTTTATTAGTGTGCTATTTTCGTAACTGTCTCAACAACGTTTCTAGGTTGTGTAAATAGACGAGATTCGTGTGCTTGATTGTATTGTGTGATTACTGGGTGTTGTAGAATATACTTTCTACGCTTATCAAGACTACTGTTTTTTCAGTTTTGGGATCAAGGTAGCCTATCTGGACGCTGATTAATTGTCTCGTTCGCGTTTATCGACTAAGGTGAACTCTTAATAGCTTCAAGAGTACCTAGTGAAAAGTGGAACAGCATTAAAAACTAATTTACACTACAAATGACTTTTTTTTCAACAAACATAAACGAAAAAACACTCAAATTTTTCTTACCATACTTTCAAGAGATCCAGCTGAGTTAATAATATTGTCTTGATTAAAAGATGACTGTTAAGAGATTGTTCACAAGTGACAATTTGAGAGATAGAAAATAGAGATGGAGGGAGAGAACGAGAGAGAGAGAGAGGTGAGATGAGAATCAATTCATATATTGATATAATTTGAATATCATGTAAACATTTCTACTATTTTGAAAAGAACTTCGCTAATGCCAGTATGTATCTTTTTCACACTGATTCTCATTCTGTAAGTTCGTTGAAAGTGTATCTGACATGAAACCCTGTGATAGTTGAGACTCAACACCAAGCGTGTTTCCAATCTTAAGTGGACTGATGATGTGAGATTCTAAAACTCATGTCAGCCCATTATAAGCAGAAAACGACAGTGGCTAACACATTGGAATTAAGGACGCATGTTTTGTTTTGTTTCAGACTTGTCAGTTGGATATACCTGCGTGCCAGAGTTGATGTTCACTCGAGGACTCCAACTCAGTGCCGAATTCTACTTCACCGAGTTTTGAAGTCTTGTATATTACCAAAGAGGTATTCGAGCCACTACTGACCTTCAGTGAAACTGAGCTATTTACAATAACTGATCTCTACGTAGTTACTTACTTACTTACTTACCTTCTTACGCCTGTTACCCCCAATGCAGCATAGGCCGCCGACCAGTTTTCTCCAACCAACTCTGTCCTAGGCTTCCCTCTCCAGTTCTGTCCAATGTTTGTTCATTCCTCTAATATCTTTCTCTATTTCTCAGCGTAGTGTGTTCCTTGGCCTTCCTCTTTTTTTTGTTGCCTTGAGGGTCCCATGTGAGGGCTTGTCCTGTGACACAGTTAGACACTTTGGCAGTGTGGGTCCTATCCACTTCCAACGCATCTTCCTGATATCCTCCTCCACTGGAATCTGGTTTGTTCTCTCCCACAGTAAGTTGTTGCTGATGGTGTCTGGCCAACGAAACCGATGTATTTTGCATAGACAACTGTTAATAAACACTTGTATCTTCTGGATGATGGGTTTCGTAGTTCTCCAGGTTTCCGCTCCATACTGTAGAACTGTGTTGACATTTGTATTGAAAATCCTGATTTTGGTTTTTGGTTGAAAGTTGTTTGGAGTTCTAGATATTTTTCAACTGTAGAAATGCAGCCCTTGCTTTGCCAATCCGCGCCCTCAAGGGCCCTCTAAGTAGTAGTGATTATTATATCATATTTGTCCAGCGCTTAGTACTGTTCGAAAGAATGTGGTCAAAGCGAATAAGCAGACAAATATTACGTTGACTATTGCTGATAGATGAATCAATGTATGCTGTATAATCTTATTTATCTAAATGTATTCAGACAGAACTTTTCTAATCCATGGGGAAAAGAAATCAGCTATTCATATTGTTTATAAACATTGGGAAAACACCTTCAGATACTTTATGAAATATTACGGACTAGTTATGCGTATATTAAAGAATACGCCACTTTCGATTCGATGCAGAGTTTCAGTGAAAGAAAATAGAAATTTTCACAATGATTCTCTGCTACGATCACTGTCGACTTATCTTGTGGTAATGATCACTTCCCATTGCCGATTTACTACCGATCTAAACGTTCAGTACGTTACGAGTGAAATATTTAAATTAAGAAAAGTTGTTGAAATGACAATGAAACCGTTAAAATAGGTTGAGAACATTTATGAATGTTTGTAAAAAAAATTGTAATGAATATTGGATTAGAAGAACAGAATAAAAGTATTTTGAGTCGAGTGCTATTTATATAATGCACTAAATTTCATTAGAACAAAGTTTATATAACGTCAGTTTGTTCATTTCAGTCATGTTGACATGCACAAAAGGCACTGATAGGATGGGAATCTCATGGACCCAAGATCATTAAAGCATCCTTCAAAACAAAGAAACAGGACATTACAATGAACGTCATCCAATGCTATGCACCTACCAATGACTACAATGACGACATCAAAGATCAACTCTACGAAAGGCTGCAATCAATCATCGACAGATGCTCATAAACGGATTTGACGATTCTTATGGGAGACCTGAATGCCAAGGTTGGAATGGACAACACTGGATATGAAGACATCATGGGACGACATGGACTAGGAGAAAGGAACGAAAACGGTGAGAGATTTGCAAACCTATGTGCCTTCAACAAACTGGTCATCGGTGGCACAATATTCCCGCACAAACGCATACACAAAGCCACATGGATTTCACCGGACGACACTACTCAAAACCAGATTGACCATATCTGTATCAACAAAAAGTTCAGAAGGACTATGGAAGATGTGAAAACCAAGAGAGGAGCAGATACAGCTTCAGATCACCACTTGCTGGTCACCAAAATGAAACTGAAACTAAAGAAGCACTGGACAACGGGACAGACAACATCGCACAAGTTTAATACGGCCTTTCTTCGGGATCCTGTAAAGCTCAACGAATTCAAGATAGCCCTCACCAATAGGTTCCAGGCCTTTCAGGATCTACACAACGGAGAGGACGCAACATTGGAGAACAATTGGAAAGGGATTAAGGAGGCAACCACTTCAACATGTCACGAAGTTCTGGGTCACAAGAAGTACCATCACAAGGAATGGGTCTCTGTTGATACTCTAGCAAAAATTGAAGGAAGGAGGAACAGGAGGGCAGTAATCAATCATTTGAGTCATGTTGGTAGGTGTCGAATACCTGGTTGCGATCTGCGAGATGTTAGTAATCGATGATTAGAGACCCTGAGTGACATGGCTCAAAATCGTTTGCAATGGCGCAGGTGCATCTAATCTTTTGTACTTCATGAAATTCTAGCCTTCTAAATTCATTATCACCTTTATCTTTCTCTTTCTGAATTTACGTCACTGAATTATACTTCATGAATAACATCTTCAAACCCTAATCTCTCCCATTACACCTAATACTTCTATTACCTCTACTACTATGGGATTTGAATGGACAATTATATCTCTACGTGTTAATGTGGTGGTTCGTACGTGCAAACTTCTATGTTGCTGTTGATGAACGATGATGATGATGATGATGAAGGTGAGTTTACTCATTTATCCCACTACACAAACTACTTACAAGTAGTACATACTTATTACTAACAAAGAAGTACCAACCAAAACATACAATCAACCAATCATCATTGCCGACTTACGTGTTTCGGTGAATTGTATACATTCAATCTCGATTTATTTGTTGCAGTGTTCGTTTGTGATGGTAATAAACAATTTTTAATTGGTCGTATTTTATTTTGTTCTAAAATTGAAGAACCATTCGATATGATTGTATCTCTTTTTTTCGCATTGTAATCATAATGATGATAATCAGATTGATGATTCATTGGAAGATGATAATCCAAATGTGGTTGTGTTTCATGGAAGAATTCAGTTTTTTGAATTGAAGTGCCTTAAAATCAAAGGAAAAAATTCAATCGAAGAATAAAGCAGGTCAAAATTACCTACCTACTGTCTGCAACATGATATTTGAATAAATCACATCCCCATAGTCTACAGCTAACAATGTATGTATATAGTCAATGACGGCTACATGAACTAATGTCATCACTACTACCGATTGAATTGACTGCATCTGATGTTATGTTCGTCAGTTGGTACACTTAAAGCTATTACGAATTCATCTTAGTCGATAAACTAGAACGAAACAATGAACCAGCGACCAGTTCAGTCAGTCAGTCAGTCAGATGCAACGTAGAACTTCGTACGTAAGTACATCAGTTCATGTTGCCATACCACAACATTAGCACAGAGATGTAATTTTCAATTCAAATCCAATAATAGTAGAAGCAGTAAAGGTATTAGAAGTAATTGGAGAGGTTAGGATTAGAAGATATTATTCAAGAACCATAATTCAGTGAGAAAGGTTTAGAAAGTCAAAACTAGAGGGGTTGAAGAATCCAGAAGATTAGGATTTGACAGAACACAGAGAATAAATGCACCGGCGCCATTGCAAACGATTTTGAGCCATGTCATTCAGGGTATCTAACCATCGATTAATAACATCTCGCGGACCCCAACCAAGTAGTCGACAACTACCGACATGACTCAGTCCACTTGTCAATGACTTCATAGATTTCTGCCATGTTTTGGTTTGGCAGCCCCTAACTTTCTTCCAACCTATTCCTACACTATAAAACAAAGCCCGTCGAGGCAGTCGGTGGTTAGGCATACGCAGCACATGTTCCAACCACCTCAACTGATGCAGTTTCAGCATTTCATCTATTGATCTGCCATTCTTACCTAGCACCCGTTTCCTAATAACAGCGTTGCTCACTCAGGTGTCCCAGGATATTACGAGTACACCTTAGTCGATAGACGTGAACGAGACTATGAACCAGCGTCCAGGTAGGGCACCTTGAATCCAAAACTGTAAAACAGAAGGCTTTGTAAGCGTAGAAAGTATATTCTACAACACCCAGTAATCACAATACAATCAAGCACAAAACTCTCGTTTATTTATGCATCATAGAAACGTCGTTGGGATAGTTACGAAAATAGCACACTATTGAAATACACAGCAGCTAATCACAGCCAAGGATTTTCTTGGTGAGAAATGAAATCTCAAGGTCAACTGATCAGCCCATGCTCGCAAACATGAATCCAAAATAAGGCGTTTTTATCAAGCGAGTTCCAGGGGTTGTAACATCCTCAACATCTGGAAAATTTTTTAACTTACACTAAACATCAAAGCGAATCCCTAATTGAGATAGGGTTGGGACCGTTGGCAGAGAATATACACATAAAAAAACATGTCCCTAGTCACCGCATACAATGAAGACTTATCATCTATGGTCTAGTAGTGTGGTGTGAGCTACTTATAAGTAGTATATAACGTGAATGTCAACGTAATGTCTGGCAGCAGAAGATGGGGGAAGATCAAGAAAGGAAGAGTGGGAGGAACACAATGGAATTTGTGTATGAAACGCATGAATAGTGAGTGACAATGGATTGATGTTTTGCAACAGGAACAGTCCAGTTCGATATGATGAACTGATATTTTGCAAATGAACGATTTACGATATGGTTTTTCGATTTTACTGAGTAACTCTGTAATTTTCGTTAAATTCAATCCGGTTGCCCTACCTGTGTTCTCGTTCACTACAGTAGTAGCCCTAAGTCTGTAAATCGAAATTATTGATTTCTAATTGACTTAAGTCTAAATTATTACTGGTAATTATGAAATCATTTTTTGCTGGTGAATCGCTGAATCCAATCAATATATCCAATATAAGTTATCGATCGATTGGCAGCTGACTTTGAAACTTCTATTTCTCTATGGAACTTAATCAAAAAAGTAGGTAGAGTCAATACTGTTAGTGTATAAGCTTAATTTCAATTTACATTTACATGTTTTGTATATCCTTTGAAAAAAAGGTATA